CAGGCCTTGTTGTTATGTTGGAGAGAGGTTGGCATTGTACACCAAGAACTTGTGGTCTTTATGTTGGACAGACAAAAGGGCTAGAGGGACAGACTGAAGTAACCCTCACTGTGAAATCCCAGGCAGATAGGTGGTTAGCAAATTCTGGAATCAGGCATGAAGTCAGGATCAGAGGGTTACCTCCTCAGTCTACTCCCAAGCAGGTCACATGAAAATACATTTTCACGTGGTGGCAAAAGCGCACAGGTGACTTCTCCTGTGCTACTCTACAAACAAAAGGTCACAGCGTCCTTCCTTCTTCCCTAATGTCTGCAGGTCTGTGATGAAAAGAAGACCCAGGCCACACAGTCCTTGGTGGAACCACTGCTAGGGATCTGGGTCCTGAGCCACACCCTGCTGTGGGGACAAGAACTGAGTCACAGTGGGATTGCTGTATTTTTGATCCCATTAGAATTGGCTGGAGAGATGGCTCAGCAGTTAAGAACACTGACTCTTCTTGCAGAAGACCTGGTTTGATTCCCAGCACCCACATGGCAGCTAACAACTGTCCGTAACTCCAGTTCCAGGGGATCCAACAGCCTCTTTTGTCCTCCGTGGGCATTGCATGACACAGGGGCACTTATCTACATGCAGGCATAACACTCATACACATAAAATAAAAACAATAAATAAAATATTAAAAAAAAACAAGAGAGGTGTTCAATAGTCTATTTGGTTTGCTCTATAGTTACTCCAAAATTGCAAAAACTAAAACTAGAAAGATAAGAATAGTCACGATGGATTGGGAGATGCATCTTGGCCTAGGATGGAAGGAAAAATCTTTTCAAACAGTCCATTTTAGGAAATGGATTTACCAGTCATGATGTTTTAAGATCATGGCACAGACATTCAGTAGCTCTGTCACATCCTGCAGTGTGTGCAGAAGCGGGGCCCCATGTTGCAGTGGGGTGTCATAAAACAGAGACATGGGCTTATCGTTTGTCCTTCCTCATCAATGAGTCACGAGAAGAGCCATCATATGACTCAATAGATGACCAGTGGCACTACATAGATGGACCATCTGTATACAAACTTGGAATGAATATCATGATGCTTCTAAGGTACAAGAATGGATTATCTGTTCGAATAACAGGAAAAGAGACAATCTGAAGGTAGTGGATGAGGAGAATTTGGAGTATTGATTTCCCTGAGGTCTGTGGTCATTTTTCCCTAGGGCTTATGCCGCAATGCATCCTGTTACCCAGGTTCACCACATTTTAAAAGCAGCTTTATAATAAATAAGGCTAGTGAATCAACTCTCCCCTCTCCCCTCCTGCTTGGTATAAACAGCTCCAAACAAATGTTCAATACCCAATGTATCCTGTCGATCCATCTCAGCGAGTTACAACAAATCAATGATGTATTTGTAAAGCCGTTTGTCATAACTTTGCATGGCGAAGAAATTTTCAAACTCAAAAACAACAGAAGTTTGTGTTCTTCCCACCCCATGGCTGTTTACATGTTAGTTGGAAACGGAGTCCAGTCAGGGAGAACAGTGAGTGTGACACCTGGTTCTGGCAGTACCCCAGTGGAGGAGACACCACACCCAGCATTGCGATCCTCTAAAACAACACGCAGTAGCAAGGTGTGGAGGTGCAGAGCTGTGAGCCCAGCGCTTAGCAAGCCAAAGAAGGAAGGCTTCAAGCTCGAGGCCGGCTTGGGTTAAAGAGTGAGCGCCCTGTCCGCCTGGGTACAGTGAGACCCTGTAGCGAAAAACTAAACACACACACAGGAACACACACCCACAGGAACACACACACACTCATAGGAGCACACACACACACACACACACACACACACTCAGAGACTCACACACAGAGAACACACACCCGCAGGAACACACAGGAACACACACACAGGAACACACACTCAGAGACTCACACACAGAGAACACACACCCACAGGAATTCACACACACTCATAGGAGCACACACACACACACACACACACACAAACAGGCTCTCACACAGAGAACACACACCCACAGGAACACACCTGCAGGAACACACACACACACAGGAACACACACCCACAGGAACACACATACACAGGCTCACACTCACACACAGGAATACACACACAGGTTCACACACACACAGGAACACACACACACAGGAACACAGACAGGTTCACACACACATAGAACACACACATAAGAACACAGACGTACAGGCTAACACACAGGAACACAGACACACAGGAACACAGACACACAGGCTCACACACAGAAACCACACACACACAGGAACACAGACACACAGGAACACACACAGAACATACACACATAAGAACACAGATGCACAGGAACATACACACATAAGAACACAGACGCACAGGCACACACATGCACAGAAGAGCACACATACGAACACCACACTCACACGCGCACCCAGTCCCCACCTTTGCTTTCTGCAGCCCTGCTCCCATGGTCTGCTCCTGGCAGGTGTCGGGTAGGACGTCCTACTAGGCCTGACTCATGCTCCGTGAGGACATTGGTACAGACATTGCTCCTGAGCCTTTCCTCCCTGAGGACTCACAGGAAGAGGAGAAGTCTGCAGACTAGTGTGGGCTGCGTGGTGCTGAGGTGCAGAGGGGCATGAGTGATAACAGCTCACATCCCTCCTAAGAAACTGATGAAGAGCAGAGCGAGAACACAGACATTCCTGTGGCCTCACACCATGTTCTGAACATATCCCAACAGGCCACCTCCGGCCATGAGCTCAGGGACCTGATGGAGGGAGAGCAGGGTCAGCCTCATTCCTGGCCTCTACGGAGCAAAGCGTGCTGGCTAAGCCCTGGGCTGACGTGGACTTCTGACTCGTCCTTGGATAAAGAGGCTCCACTTGGAATGAGCAGTGAATTCCCACTGCACGCAGTAGATGGGAAAGCATCACGTAGAATAGACTTATCTTCTGGGCAGCCGTGCAGAAACGGTCACCGATTCTGCTATAGGCAGAGGAATCCATGGCCACCGATTCTGCTATAGCAGACGAACCCTGGACCTGAGCACAGCAGGTGTGTTGCTAGCCACTGTGTGTCTCCTGCTTCCCGTGGGAATGCCTCACTCCCCACCCTGGCCTCCTGGGCGGGGCTCTATCTCCTCTGATCTGAGATCTGTATTTGTTTCCACTTCTTCACTTTGTGGCTGATTAATCCTCAGATCCAAAGGGATTTATAGATTGGCCACTTTGGACAAGGACAGGAGAGATTCCCCATGAATAAGTTTTGCCAATTTTCACCCCAGCAGACAGATGTGCACCCCGCGGATGGGGCGACAGACCTGATGCTGATTTAATACAAGGACATCACCTGACAAGTGGTCCTGTCAAACCGCAGATCATGTCTTCAGGAATTCCAATCATAAAATTGATTTTTCAAATTATTATAAATATTTTATTTCCCTCTTTCTATGATGCATGAGCTGACAGTAACAAAATACTAAAACCTTATACAGATGAACGAAACCCTTTCTTCCCGTCTCCATCAATAGTGCGTCTGTCATTTAAAAATGTATTTGTCTTTTTATTTTCAAATTTAACTTGGAAGTCATGGGCTATGACTTTCAAGAAAAAGTAATAACATTCACAGCTGGGTATTTTTTTATTGCACAGACCCCCTAAGCACTCAGATAAGGGGCACCCAGGGAACAGAGCTGGGGTACGCCATGAAGAGAAGGCTAGAGGTGCTGAAGAAGGTGACTACGGGTTGATCGGGGAGCTGCTGTCAGAGTTCGGGGGCTCCGGCCTCTGAGCCTTCATTCTGGACTTGGCGTCTACTTGGGGTCTGTCCCAGCAGTACACCAAGGCAGGATCAGAGAGACTGTGAGCGACTGTAAAGTTGGGGTGTAGATGGGGGGGTGTAGGGAGTGTAAGCTGCAATGTAATTCTCAACAGATTTTTAGTGCTCATTTTATTGACCCATGAGTAGAGTCACAGGTGAAACTCCACACAGAAGCAGGCAAACAAGCCTTTAAAAACCGAGACAGCTGGCAGACCTAAAGGGGACACCTTGTGCTCTGCACCTCTACCAGCAACTGAGCTTGGGGAAGACGTGTGGAGAGAACACTCAGATCCGAGGCACTCAGAGAGCAGGGCGGGGGTGGGCAGCGAAGGTGACCGCAGGTTGGCAGTCTGAGAATGAGTACAGCACGTGGATAAGCCACACAGCTCCAGCCCAGAGCCTGATGACTTCGTTCAGTGACAAGGAGAACCACAGAAGATTTGTACAGCACAGGCCGCTGCAATCCTGAGATCTGCTGAACAGTCAGACGGGCTACAGAGGGGAGTTTGGGGGTCTGGTCAGATGTCTGTGCTGCGTGAGCACACACAGCACAGGTGCTCAGAAGCAAGGTGACATGGTCAGGGAGCACTGAGGGTGCTCACAGATGAGCACCTGTGAGGGACACGAGGAGCAGACAGCAGAGCAGGCGGGGGAACCTTCATCCCTCCCACAGCTACCGACAGAGCAGAGTGCTGCTGGTTACACCCAAAAGTGACAGCGAGATCCGCTCTCGGAGATCCCTTCCTCTTGGGGAGGACTGAGGAGCTCCTTGAAAGTTCTCCTCTTCAGGCAGGAGATGATCAGGAACACCGATCAAGAACATGCAAGACCAACTCCCGTTTTCCAAATGATGAGGGGTGTATAACACACAGAGGGGACACTGTGCTTCATTCGTCTATAATCAGAGTTTTAAGAAAGAAGTCTCCAAGGTCCAGCCTCATACAGTGACTAGTGAGGGAAAGAGAGAGGACAGAGTTGAGGCTGGACCTTAGAAATAATTCTTGTCAACGTGGTCAGTCGGTACCTGGTCTTCCCGGGAAAACGTTTGATCTCAGAAAAGAAGGCGGGACAAAGGCAGAGCGGCAGCTCGGAGAAAGAGGTAACCTTAACTGCTCCATCTGTGCCTCTGTTTCCCCTTTTAACTGACACAGCCCATCCCACATAGAAAGAGAGCGACTCACGGACTGAGTTCTTGTGGCTGCTGTCCTTGCTGGGTAGCATCTTGACTCCTCTGGACTTCAGCTCGATCGCTTTTTTCACTGAAAGAAGGAAAATAAAGCCATGAGCAGGAGAGACCCAGGACCACAGAGCCATCCTTAAGCCTCTCAGTAAGTCAGTCCCAACGCTCCTCCATCAACCCCTGAATGGGACCTGGTCACAGAGAGCAATGAGGGAGAGGACAGAGCCTGTCACACTTGACTCCGGGCTGTCAAGCAGGGGTCATGCAGCTGTGTCCTGAGCCGAAAATCTTTCCGGTGGGGCTCATGACCCACAGCCAAAGCTGTCTGCCTTTAGGAAAACAGCCCGTACACAGCAACCGCTGCTCCAACAAAGACCATGTCCTCACCAGCACACGGGGTGGGTGTATGACGTTTTCCCCTAGTGACTCTAGAGCCGTCTGAGTTTGATCTATTCGTGAAAGTCTTTCAAGAAAATGCATGCTGTTCATTTACGTGCTCCTATCTTCATTCAGCCACATAAATCTTATCAGAGTTGATGGGCAACAGTGTGGGAATGTCACACCCTGAACGCTATAGGTAAAATGAGCCACCACCTGTCCCTCCCTCCGGAGCTTCCCCATCTGTCACATGCAATAATGTCCTGGCTCTTACACTCAGCTCTCAGAGTTAGGTGGGAGTCTGGATTTGTTCGGTCCCGCATCAAACAAAACTGGGTGTGTGTCAAAGAGTGGAAGGGGAAAGGTTTGCTTTTATGGTTAGAATTAAAGAAGGGAGGAGAGTCCAGGGAGAGGTGTGTGGGGATCTTCCCTCTTCCTTCCCTGTCCCAGGCTCCTTCTTTCCTCTGACACGTCCCTCTTTACATCTAGGTTTTGGTCAGTTTTTTTCTTTCTTTCCTGGTGAAGACTATGGATGGCAAGGACCATGGAGACAGTGACCAGGAGCCTACCCACTCCTCAGACTGCTCCTAAATCTCAGCACTGCCAAATACTTAAGTCCAAGAAAACAACCAAAACGAACCCCGGGCGTGTTGCTTGTCAGATGCACAAAACAGGTCTCGGCCCACCCCCAGACTCCGTGCTGGGGGTGGGGGTCGACCCTCCTGCATTTCACATCCTGAGAGTCTGTGGGTCCTGCCTCCTCCTCCTCCTCCTCCTCCTCCTCAGGAAGCCTGGGGCAAGAGGCTTGGGACCTTCCGTCAGGACTGAAACATCCCCACAGGAAATACAGTCTCAGCAACGGTCAGATGAACTTGGTGCTCCACACCTGCATCGCCTGAGCTGCGCTATAGTCAGACTATAAGGAGAAGTCGCGGATTCATCGGACGCATTTTTAAAATATTTTATTGTTTCTTTGAAAGTGCATGAATCAACAGAATAAGAGAGATTATCTGTCATTTCCCACCTCTCTCATAAAAAGTGAGATTTTTAAATTCAAATGTTGTGGGTGGCTCCTTTCTGTGTCCAAGTCTCCACTGGGGACAACCGTCCCCATAAGGCACTTTACACAGTGGCTTCAGAAGCAGACAGGTCTCGGGGGGAGCCTGGGGTGCCCTAGACGAAGCCTCTCCAGAGAAGGAGGGCGAGGGGACAGGTGTGCATGCTTACAGCTTCCTGACACTCAGAATGTCACTCAGTCATTCACTGGGAAACAGGGTTGTGTCCCAAGGAGTGGCCAAGCTGAGCCCCTGTGTTGCCATCACCCTGGGCCATTGGGACAAAGGTACTAGATCTTCCATTATGACCAAAACTTTAGATGTTAGATCAGTATAACATGATTAGAGAATTTGACCTTTGATTATTTCTTTAAAAGTTTCTTTGCACCTGAGATCCATTGCTCAGATGATCCTGTGTGGTGACTACACTCACATCATGCAAGGGTGGGGTTTATATTTCTTTCTTTCTTGATAGCCACAAAAGAGATGGCCTGCATGTATGATTTTTCTCTTAATCTGGTCCTGCAACATGTCAATCCCGTAGAATTTCATGAGGCCTACACAACAGCACTCCTGTGAACTTGGCTAGGCTAACGGAGGAAAGGAAGTGTGACAGGAACTACTCTTTCAGAGAGTTCTTCCCCCATGTGTGGCTGATAAATGACTAGGTTAGCCTAGCACGGAGCTGCGGAGCCCCACTCCATGCACTGAGGACACTCTTGGGGACAAGGAAGTACACTACTCAGATCCCCTTTAGGGAAGTGCTTGCCAATGGGTAGCTATCTACATTAAACTCTTCAGAGAGCCCCGTCACAGACAGCAACAGTGCCTCTGGCCATATTGCTGTGAACTAAAGTTCCTAGGACTAAACCTGCATCTTGGACTGAACTTTCTGTAAGTCTAACCAACTCACCTAGGCTGTCTTGAGCCCTAAATAGCCACTGCTTGCCCACTGTGTTTCTGACTTAACATTCCGTGACTACCAGATAAAAGCCTTTGGAATGTATTAACTTAGCAGACCACCAACTTCCATCAACCGAAAGCCCAAGTGTCATCAGACAACATCTGAGGCCTGGAGCTGAGATTTCTCTTTTGCCGAAACCACCTACTTAATGTTTCCACCGATGTATTTGAAGAGTGTCCTGATTTATGACTTTTCTTCATTTTATTACTATGAAAACAAGTCACCATGTTGAGACATGGAATTGGGGTAAGAATCTGTGTTCCAGGGCCATGATCACTTATATTTGGCTTCAGAATAAACTACCTCTCATCCCCTTTGAGGTGAAAGCTGTGATTTTGTGTTGATGTTGTCCAGTGGCAATCTCATTTAGGGATTAACCCTTGAAGGACAGAGTCTCAAAGAAAGAGGCTACCCCACTGTGAGAGTGATATCAGCACTCTCTAGGCTGTGATTCCTCCTAAGGAGGACCCTGGAGTGCAGTTCCTACAGGCTTTGCCAGTTCCTCCCCATGATCACTGACTTTTCCTTCTGTCTGCATAGGCGTAGATCTCAATGGGGTGGACTGCTGACCTGGTTGCACTCAGTGACCAGGCACAGAGAGCCCAGCCCCAGGGCACAGAGAGCCCAGCCCCAGGTTTTCTGTGCCTCTCTTACCCTCCCTGTGACTTTGGTCTATTACATTTCACATCTTCATTTCTGTGTTGTGGTGACCAACGACACAAGAAAGAGGAAATGAGAGCCATTACTGCCATTGTTTGCAACAGTTTGGTAGCTCAAAACTTCTGGTGAGTTCACCCCAGAACACTGTGTTAATTTAAAATCGCAAGTGCCTCCGCGTACTTTCCCATGGTCTCTACTTTGCTGTACAGAAATAACTTTATCTTGAAGTGACTCCGGGGAGAGGAGACAAATGTGCAATAAACAAGGATCAGGACAATCAATAAGAAGATTATACAGAGCATAAAACTCACGGCAAATGTCACCCAACATAACGGATGAAGCAAACAGAACTCAATTCACTCAGAAAGTAGAAAGAAAGACTGAGGGGCGCTCAGGGGCCATAAGAGTGTTTGGATATACCGGACCTCTCCGAGAATCTGATGAGCTCATAAATTCTGCAATTCTGAAAATAATTGTTTGAAGCTCTGTGAAGCTAAATTTCCACCAGGGATACTTTATTTATTTCCCAATAAGACTGTATTACTCTTCTCTAACTCTATGCACCATCGAGTTCTGATTTGTTTCATGTTGCATTAGCTTCTTGTTGGAGTGCAATGGTCTTGGCGAGGTACGAAAAAGGAAGTTAAGCACCCTTGGTCTCCCAGCTGTCTGTACCATTCCTCTTCTGTCTCAGTTAATGTCATTTTTCCTCTATCTAGACCAGTCTCCTCCTCCTCCTCCTCCTCCCTTTCCTCCTCTTCCTCCTCCTCCCTCTTTTCCTCTTCTTCCTCTTAGCTCCTGCTGAGGGTGGCACAAAGACTTCCACTCACACAGAAAGAAGCACCAAGAGAGTGTGTCGTGCAGAGCTACAAGTGCAGGCTGCTGGGGAAAGACACCTCACTCCTGGAAACCCCTAAGGGACTGCACTTCTTCATGAGAAAAAAATTTCCCTGTTCTTGTACATGTTAAGATTTTGGGAGGAATGATACACATAATCCTAATTCTCATGTTTAACCTCAGACATCGCAGATCAGAAACGCTGGGGTCTGCCTTCAAGTTTTCAAGTCCCTCCCTCCCTCCCTCCGTCCCTCCCTCCCTCCGGATTTTTCTCTCTGTCTCAGTTTTCTTCTTGGTAAAAAGTAGTTGTTACACCAATGTTTTCTGAATGCTCAACTAGCACTCTCCCTCCCTCCGTCCCTCCCTCCCTCCGTCCCTCCTTTCTTTCTCTCTCACTTTGTGGTGCTGTGAGTTCCCTGTTAGGAGTCCCTCAGCTCAGTTTCTAGAGGAAAGGCATGAGATATGTACCCTAAAGCTGGGGTTTAGCATTCTGGTCTATCCTGCCCAACACAAAGTCTCAGTAACTCAGAGTCAAGCACTCACACAGACTGTGGTGTCCAGAGGCAGGACTTATAACTGGGAGACAACGGGCAGAGGGATCAGGGCCTTGGGTTGGAGGAATGAGTTCATGCAATGTATTACACAACCTGGTGGCTATCACTAGCGAGGCATGCATGCTTGAGTTTAGCTAAGAGTATTGATTTTAAGTTTTCTTAACGTGAATCACTATCTAAAGGGGGACAAACAGAAAAAAAGCATTTTCATGTAGCTTCATGTAGAATCAACCCTCTTTCTTTTAACATTCAGGAATTAATGTCAGAGGAAATACTTTGCAATTGAAAAGCATAGCAGTAACTCTATATTGGCATTTGTTTTTGTTTAATTTAGTTTTGTGTATGAAAGTTCCAGGACAACTTGAACTCTCTGCAAAGACTAATCAACCGATTAGACCCTCAGTGACTGTGGAGAGTTTGGAGTGTCGCAGGTCTAGAGCTTCATTAAAATGTAGGGCTGTCTTTAGCCCTAAATAGCAACTCCTTGCCCACCTCTGTTTCTGACTTAACATCCCATGACAGATGAAAAACATTTAGAATGTTTGAACAAAGCCCTAGCTCCCATCAACCAAAATCCTGGGTGCCATCAGACAGCACCTGAGGCCTGGAGCTGAGGTTTCTCCTTTGCTAT